ATTTTTAAATTAACAATAACTAACAAAAGTAGTTAGAAGATATATTATCATTTATACAAATATAGATTCCCATATAAAAAATATTAAATATGTTTTGATTAATATAGATCTGATCTTTATTGAATAATAATATATAGCTGGCAAGAAAATGCAAATAAACAAAGTTTATACAATTATTTTAGCATCAGCAAAGCTGGCATAGTCAATGTACTAGATCATATCAATTTCAGATGCTTCACACTTGATATAGTAAGATCCAGTTTTGTAATTGCTCTCTACACCTTCCCTATCCTCATGATCCAACTTGCATAATGGGTATAATAACTCAGACTTAATTTTATAATAATTAACATCTTCATTACTATATTTATAAAATATATTGGGATATTGCTCTAATATTTTGTCATGAAAATAAGCATGGATATGGGTTGAATTATTTTATTTTTCAGATAAGATCTTGACTTCTGGTAAATCCTCCTTGGGTTTAGAGATAGGTGATATACTAATATTGAAAACTTTCGAATTGGAAGAATTGGAGATTAGTAGATTACTTACCTCTATATTAATCTGATCATGATATTTTATTATGATTTTTGAAGTCATCTTATTTATAATATGCTAAATTTGAGTATTTTTCAATTTCAAAATTGTACTTGCACTATATATAATATATTTGATTTTATCTATACCTACTCCTCTATCATCAAATAGCTTAAGAATTTTTCTCACTCTTTTGGTTTTCTTATGCAAATTTACATCTGTAATATTAGGTAGAAAAGATTTTATTTTCTTATATATTTTCAATCTTGCTGTTTTATCTTTAATCTTGCTATCTACTATAAGGCTTTTAATCTTATTTTTGAATTCTAGAGAATAATAATATCAATTTAAAATTTATTTTTAATCTGATTTAATTGCTTTATCAAATAAGTCAGATAAACTTTGCACAGAATCTGGAGCTATATCCTCATCATTATTTGAATATAAAGGATTAATTTCAGAAGAAATAATATTTTCTGCTTGATCATAAGTTATCTTTTGTATTAAACCTTTTATAATTTGATTATCTGATTCAAGTATTTCAAATAAAGTATCAGAATTGTTAAGATTGTGATATTTTGTCATGGATTTTGCATTATATAATAATGATGTTATTGTCTTTTCAGATTCTGTTGAAGTATCCTGATTAACTAAAGATAAGTCTTGATCTTGAGAAATGGAAACTTTATTATTATATAATAGTTTTTTTTCCTTAATTCTCTACCTTATCTCATTACTAACTCTTTTCTTATTTTCTGAATCTAAAAAGATATCAATTTCTTTATCTTCTAATGATTTATATTTTCTGGAGCAAGTTTCATTAAGGTTAGATATATTGGAAATTGTGTTAACTATCTATTCTAAAGTATCTAAAGTTACTAAGTCAGTGCTAGTCATGAATTGATTTACTTTGTGATGAGTTGAAGAATTTTTAATCTGTATATTTTCACTATTTAAGTAACTCTTATTAGATAATGGAGTGGAGTATTCTGGAGATTTCTGCGAAAGTAGATCTTGTAGAGCTAAATCATTAGTATTTATTTGATTTTGCTTTTCAATATTCTTAATAGCGCATTTTAATTTTGCAATTTCATTCTTGAGCTTGGCATTTTCTGTTTGACTTAACTTTATAGTCTGTTCTAATTCCACAATTCTAACCTTAAGCTTATTCTTTTCTTTCATGATCTGTTCTAATTCTGCAATTCTAGTCATAAGTCTGGCATTCTCTTATTTCAATAAATCTAATTTCAATTTGGTATTTCCCATTATTTTTTATAAGATATGGATATGTTTAAAAGTTTGTTTATATGTATATAACTGCTCAAATATCTTGTTTTTTATCATCTAAATCATCAGAAAATTATATGATTCATTATAACAGATTATAATAAAGTAAATAATTTTACAGAAATTTCACTAACTTCATAATTTATTTAAATATAGTTTCTTTCATATCTAACACAATTTTACCAGATATTCTATTAAGAGATTTTACTATTTGTTCCTATTTATATTTATAATTACTGTAAACATTGAATAAGGAAAATTCTTTTATACATATTGTATATAGTTATCACAGGAGCTATTATCTATATAGTCAAATCTCCCTAAGTGCACCTCCCTGGGGACTAATTATAAATATGAATTTAAAGAGGGTGTGCATTTAGAGAAAATTATAATAATCAACTAATCAAATAGTAATTTCAATCAATACTAATCAGCCTGATGAATAATTTAGTGATATCATAATTTATAAAATATAATAAAACTAATTTTCTTTATTTAAAGTACTCATCTATGCAAGTCTGATAAGCTAAACTAATTATTTTTTCTCTAATAAATTTTTCAAGAATATTGATTAATTTTAATTATTCATCTGAATTCTCTTGTTGAAACAAAAATATTTGAATATATTTCAAATTTTTTAATGCTAAACTACCACTAATAATTATAGTTTTGATGTTATCATCCTCCTCTTCATCCATTATTTCAATATTCTCCTCCATACTTTCATTCTTTTTGAATATATATATGAGCTCCCTAATAAGCTGATCATCTGAGGGAACTTCATAAACAAGATTCTCATCATTAATAGTAAAGAACTTATTAATATTCATTGTATTAGAGAGATAAAGTGCATCAAGTACACTAATAAGCTCATTAAGTATTGAATCATCAGTTCTATGAATGTTATCCAAAAGATTATGAATATCTGTATTAGTATTAACCAGAAGAATTCTTGTATGATACTAATAATTACATATGGTTTTAGCTGAAACTTCTTTCCAAACCTCAATGATATACTGAATTGCTTGAAAAATATTCATTTTTAAATTTTGTATAATATTGTCTGCTTTAACTTGCTCTAACATTCATCTAGAAATTGAAAAAAAAATTAAAATAAATATTAATAATCATAAATAGCTAAAGATCTGGATATATTAATAAATTACAAATAGTTATTTTTCATGGAAAATATTAATAATTAATAGATTTCCTCATTCAATCTCAATTATTGATAATAAATATGTATACATATCACCTTTTATTCAAAAGATCCCCTAGATAATTATTATATTAGTCTCAATAATAACTTTAATCTTATTTATCCAATATTATGTATCTAATAACCCACTCATTCAAAAGTTAATAATTTATTTGCTCAACACCATAATAAAATGATAATATAAATAGATAAAAAAAAATACTAACTGGAGATGAAAATGATGATAGGCTTTTTTAAAAGCTATTATTATTCCCATATCCATAGGTTGTATTCTCAAAGTTATGTTTGGAGGAAAAAAATGAATGTCTACATGTTGGAAAGTTAAATCTACTATAATATGACTAGAGCAATTATCAAGAAGTAAAAGAATGCACTGGTTATTATACTTTCGTAAGATTTAGAGATTGAATTTGTAAAGTCACTCTTGAAAAAGAACCATAAGCATCCAAGTCTTGGCATTATTTTGATATGTCATAGACAAATTCTTAAGATTTATATTTTTGAAATACCATGAGTTGGTATACTTGCCAATTATAAAAGGATTCAATTTGTGAGATTCATTAGCATTTGTACATAATGCTATAGAAAGATGCTTCTTATTTTTTTTACATCTAGCAAGATGTCGTGTTGCTAAGGTTCAATCTAATTCCAATCTGCAATATGATTAAAAATTAATAAAAAAAATAATTAAAAAATAATTAAAAAAACCTACTGATAAAAAAGTCCAGTTTCATTCATATTATAAATCTGGTCAAGAGGATATTCAGTATATATGTTTCACAATAATGGTAGAGATTTAACAATAATGTTTTGATTGACAAATGATACTTCTTTATGAAGCTTTCTTTGATGAATTCTATTTTGGTTCTTAAATTTTTATAGTCATCCAGAAGAAAATTATAACTTACCTTCAGGAACTCCAAGTTTATTTGCTAATAATTTGGCTTTTTCAATTATAATGACATCATTTAGAATGGTTTGATACTGATAAATTAATATGAATTTCTTAACTGCTAGCTCAAGTTCTGGAATGATAACAGATTTATGACGCTTGACTTCCAGACTTATAACTTTATTAAAAAGTTATTTTTCTTTAATTTGAAAGATTCGAGTAATTGTAGATTCATTAACTTTAACTCCCCATCTGTCTTCAATCCATTTTACATATTCAAATCAGATTCTTTTATTGTCATGTGCATAGATATATAGCTCATATTTTTGAGCATCCATTAACATAATTTTTTTTGACATTACCAGATGAAAGAAAACTTATTACCTATTTTCTAAAATAATTAATTCTTTATTCTAAACTAAAGATGATCACAAATGACTCCTTACCCACAAAAAATTCCTCCTCATGTGCTAGAATTAGGTTATGGTGCCAGAAAGTTAAGCATTACCAGAATGCGAAAGAAAAAATCTTGCCAAGAAAATTTGATTCTTTGATTCATTAATTTTTCCACATAATAAAATTTTATTGGCCAACAATACTTAAAATCACGTGATAGTACATTTACAGAGATATTTTAAATTATATTTATTTAAAAATTTATTGCACATGCAGAATATAGAGGGTGTGCATTTAGCACTATAGTACAAGCTTGGGACCAGATTTAAGGGTTTATTTATAGAGGGTGTGCACTTATAGAACGTGCATTTAGAGAGATTTGACTGTATTAATATAAGTATCACCGAACGGATCAAATATCATGTGTCATAAAATGTTACGATCAAACTTGTTGAGTGTGTGGCACATATGACACGATCGAAATCATTCGAACGTACGCGTTGTCAGAACTCACTTTGCACGAATTTTTCGCCTAAATGAATCTCCACCCTGATTGTCTCGATGCTCTAAAATACCCTAGTAAGGAAACTGTCTATACACTTTTTTATGCTATTGTTTTATTAGATTAACGTCGTTTTTGAATGTAGCTTTTGGGAGGATACCAACAACCCTTCACTCAGAAAGTTTCTAGACTTTCGACACCTGGAAGGTGATTTGGCTGATTCAGATACGGAGCACTATCGTTACCAATGTGAACTAAATGCTATCAGCAAGTATTACACTGAAGAATCTGAAGTCGGTCAGATAGTTTTGAAGTTGAAAAGTGATTTTGAGGTATTTGTATTTAAAGATTCATTTTTCTTTTCGTGGAAGCACGACTACTTTGCAGGTGGAATGCTTGCACGGACTACTTTGTGGGTGGTATGCTTGCAAAGGAAAGGTGGAATGCTCTGTCCGTAGTAGTTTTTGGGTGGAAGGCTCATATGGACAACTTGTGGGTGGGATGCTCACAAGAAAAAGGGTGGAATGCTCGTCCATAGTTGGTTTTGCGATCATTTAACAGATCTGTGGTTATTTAATGATTTGTATATAAAGCAAAGAAGTCGTCATTTTTTCATATAATAATTTTTTTAAGGTGGATAAAAAGTCGAGATGGACGAAACTCTTTTGGAATTTACGAGAAACTTGTACTGAATTAGAGTTAGTTGATGAGAAATCCAAATTGCAATGGGTAAGTTATCTTTACAAAAATAATCTATAGAGTATGCTTTTGTTAAACTTGATTTTGATTTTGATTTTAGAAAGAAGGGATGCTTGAATTTGAAAGAACAGGTCTTTGCCATCTTCGAGAGACTTCATCTGCTGTGCAAGAAAAACAAATCTCAAGTTATGCATCCTACAAGGGGCCTGAAATAACGTGAGTCTAGTCAAGAGCAAGACCCATTGACTTTTAAAGTTAGTTATAATGAACTTATTATTTTTTTTTATGACTAGGCGTATGGCAAGTACACCAAAGCAAACCATTATACCAGAAGATAAAGGAAAGAACGAAAAATTACTTTATAATACTTCACCAAAATATATATGCAAAAAACCATTACCAAACCCATTTTTGGTGAATCAGCAAGGGAAAAAACGTAATCTTGAAACCGAAGAAGATGACGAAGAATTTGATGCAAATCTAACGATTGTTGGTGGAAAAAGCACCGAATGGATTGTAAATGGAATTAAAATCAGGGAACGCCTCAAGGAATACCAGTTGAAGAAGAATCTGCCAAAGACGAGGCCAGAATATTATGACATTATATTCTTCAATTCTAATTCTAATAAAGATGGGTTTTTAGAGTCATTGGATGAAAGTATCATAGCACAAATGCTCAGCGATATAAATGAGAAGGAAACCGAAAATACAGTGGAAAATGAAATCAAACTGCTGTTAGATCGTATCATTGATCGTGATATTAGAAAAACAAAGAAAAACTCAAACAAACAAAGGAAGAAGATACCGCTTTATTTGAAAATAAATTCGCGTTGAATTTCGTGAGACATATGTGAGTTTATTTTCTTAATCTTTATTGAGAAATGTGGTTGCGATTAATGAGATTAATTATATTTATAGGGTGAGATTAATGGAAGATGTCAATTTATTACTTGACCCAATGTCGGAAGGTACATATATCAATAGTGTCCTAGCGCCCATTCTTGATGAATTTTTTATCAAAAATAAAAGGCAATGGCGTGCATCTTACGGCGAAACTTGTCTCAAAGCGAGCGCAAAAGATAAAAATTCACAAAAAGAAGATTCTGAACGCAGGTCCACCGGAAAGAAAATTGACACTATTATTGAATTGCGAGAGGAGAATCAAGAATTTTCTGTCATTGAAATTAGTGGACCACCGTTAAAAAATGATTGGTCGCATTATAAGGATGATCGGTTGAAAATTGCTAAAATGTTAAAAACAATAACAAACCATTTTGCGGAACTAAACCCGAGTTCTGATATTACATTGGTTAAACTATACGGATTGCAAGCGTATTGTAAGTTCTGATTACTAATACTTTGTTCGTTATTGTTATTATCATGCATTACTAACTCCTGGAATGCATAGCAAATGAGATTACTATATATGAATTTCGACTTAAATTCGCCGAAATTTATACTATGAAACCAACATTAATGTTTTCCTTTCCAACAACTTGGGCAGACATGACAAGGGCAAACAAAACTATAATGGGCTTTTTGAAGTATGAGGTTTGTAAAGATTATTATTAACAGCTGGCTTCGCTCCAGTAGATTTTATGATATATAAAAAGAAAAGGTATAGAAACACGAAATTAACATCCTCGATTCTTGTAATTAGGCATTATTAACCGAAAGCACAAAGTCGATTCAAGATTTTCTATGGAATGAAGGTGGTGAAATCGAATCATTTAAAATGACAACACGTATGATTCATACCCCTACAAAAGACACCGAAGAAGCAGAAAACACCAAAAGTTCAAAATCCAGAAAAAAGAAACGAGTTGTTAATGATTAAATGTGGTTTATTTTATAATGTTTAACACAAAATATCTTTTGGATGTGTATTGGTCATGTAAAAATTGATTGTGCTAAACCCAGATAATCATTAGCTGTTTTATTTTGCGAGGGTCTTACATAAGCGATAGAAAAAGATAATGGTAAAGATGCATCCGATGCTCGAGTTTTTGATGACGTTAGAAAACGAGCAATACTGTGTATTATGGAAAGAGAACGGAAAATATTCAATTTAATAAGCACATCGTTGTGTTTCATATACATTCGGTTTCATGACACGTACAAAACCGTGACAAAATGTCACGATCGTATTAATAAATTTTTTATATGTTATAACGAGATCGAATCCCAGAAAAAAAAATTCGCTTTATTGTTACAATAAAATATATGGGCACATAGATGCCAGATAGTACACGATAAAATACAGTTACAAAAAATATCTAGATTTTCGTAAACGACGTTTATTAACTTCATGCTCATCACACATTGAAATCCTATCCCTTAATAACCCTACGACCACTCCAATTACTGTTTTAACACCCTTCCTGATTGATTCAAGATCCTCCTTCAACGCTGTTTTGGATAAATTAATCCGATATTCGCTTTTGCTGGTACAATATAGTCCTTCACTGTAGCAAGTTTAATAAAATGCCATTCCGTAGCTATGTAGAAATAAGATAACAATAATCAGAAAATAAGTGACATAGACGCTAGCTTCGCTGTATAACGAATTTGCAGAATATACACTAATAGATATTTGTCGGTAATTATACCTGTAGAGACTATCCCGTAAAGATAATCATCGTCGTTTTCAAATGCCTGCTCCGCGATTCGCTTCCCTTTATTCATATGACGTGCGCTCTCTAGTTGCTTTATGTTTTGGAGATAACCGATTTCAACATTACTTCGGCTATACACACGAGATCTTCTTTTCCTTTAATTGCATAGTCAACACGTCCTGATGACTCCTCGCCTGAAACAGATTTTTGATAAGATATGTATATTTTTTCTTCTTCAGTGACCCTTCGGGCGATAGCAAGTGATGCGTTTAATATAGATGTGATAAACACACATCGGGTTGCTTCATTAGCACTGTCTTGCATCGTCTCCAAATTCGAAAGCCTTGATATAATTTCGTTCATGCATTCGAGGATCTTATCAGTACACCTTCGGCAAGAAAACACGAATTAAATTTAAAAGAACCATAAGGGGAATGGGCTTATCAATTCTCATTAATAAAACAATTTAACATTTACAATGACCGAAGCTGATATAATTATGACCCAAAGGGTCGCCCCTAAAGGGCCTGATTGCAGAAATAAGATCTGCTCTATCTAATGATGGAGCTTATTCGCATTTTGATAGGGACAAAGACCCATGATCCTTGGAGAGGCAAAGCCTCGAATCTCCGATCCATCGCCCTTCGGGCTTGCAACACAATAATATCGATCTTCAGCTTGCTTCATAAATGACCCACCAGGTCTATAAAGCCATTTAATTACTGCATGTTGGATTATTTTAGCGGAATTAATTTGTTTTCTCCATAAACGATAAGTTTGCTGGATAATTAATGAGGCACGATTTTCTTTATACAATGCTAGTTGAACTTTAAAATTCCTATATTTAGGGTCATTAGCTATTTGCTTATGGCTGGTCAAATTATTTTTGATACGAAATACAAAATTTTCCCAGTAATCTCTACTATTTATTTCATATCCTAATTTTAATAAATGCTTGCGTACATACTTTGGTGGATAATATTTTGCAAATAGTAACCATGCTTCTGATGTTTTAATATTATTAATAATATAATTTTCACCATATTCACTTAATTTATCTCGTAAACCCGAAGGGGAATCGGAGATTCGATGCTTTGCATCATCATTGCTTTGAAATACTCTGCTATAACTCATTATATATTTGCTACTTCTGACGTATCTAATATAGTTTTAACTGGTACTTTGTTAATTTCGCAAGATAAAATTCTCAGCATGATGTTTTATTATAACAATATATTTAATTATATTTTTTCTGTGTATTAAAATCAATTAAAATCCAATGGTTAACAATAGCTGTGAAACAGTTGCCTCTGGCAATAATACCTTGAAATTAGTATCTAAAATTGTTAGACAGATATCACATAGAAGAATTTCATTTTCTTTCTGCCAATTACTGGAGATAGTGAAACCTAAGATTTGTCAAGAACTTATAAATGCAATAACAAACTCCAATATTTCTCAGAGAAATCATACACCATGTAAGGCTAAAAAAAAGATAATTTTTAGTAATACTGCATCTTCATCTGGATCTGACTCTGAATCATCTAGCTAAGAAGTGACTACCTCCAGCAATGATAATAAAGATTTTATTGTGAAAGTGGTAAAAGCAAAGAAGCTTGATTAATTATCATCATCATAGAGTTGGAATGATCTCACTTCTTCAGGTAGTTGATTCTTTCTCTGATAATTGACAATAACATAATTTTGTGCTGGTAAGGTGTTATTATCAGAATTGTGATGTAAGGCTTTTTTAGCAATTGTTATAGCATGAGCTAAATTTTGCACTCCATGCATCACTATAATATAAACTGTTCCTAATTTATGTAAATATTTAGGAATTAAATCATAATCTTTTAAGAATTTATTGAACTATTTAACTTCTGGCTTATCTGGATCATCTATTTGACTAGAAGATATGGCATTCTGTATCCAGATTAGTAATTTTTTAGCTCATTCTTGATCCTTCTCCATAGATCTAAATTTTCTAAAAATATCTGGCTGATCTTGATTCTTTGCATAACCTATCACTTCAGCATCTGTAATATATAAAGTTTTAAATTTAGCAGGATGAATACAAAGCATCACCATAATATTAGCAAGAGTCTGATAATTAGATAAAGTTTTAATATCATACATATCTAATCTTTCTTTAACTGATTCTAATGTAAATTCATCTGGATAATTGATATATTTAGTTTCAATCTTTTTCTGATTGACATTCTGGATTTTGTTAGCATCTTCTATAATATCTGGAAATTTTGTAGTCTTGATTATCTCAAGTAATGTATTAAAATTCCTTAATTCTCTACAAAGATAAGTGAGACATGATAAGCCAGCATTAGTATTTTTTGCTGATAGGACTAAGGCATAAGCTTTGGCTCTTACATCTCTAATACTAAGTTTATCCTGTAAAATCTATTGTGCCATATCTCCAATAGTTTCTTCCTCCATTCCTTTTGAGAGTTTGTTGGAAATTGCAATATTTAAATTTTTATTGCAAAGCAATAGTGCTTCACCCTTATCTGAGGTAGTTACACTGTGACTACTTCCATTTTTCTGGATTGAGAATAAGATATTTACTTGATCCTTACTAAATCCATATCTATTTTGCAAGATTTGTTTTGCTATCTCTCTGATAATTTCTTCTTCCAGATTTTTTGAAGATGATGCTATAACTATTCTACAATTATCTTTGATAATATTTATAGTTTTATTTTTTTCATCCCTCTGATTAGGTATTAATATGTCTACCTATTTACTTCTAAAGTTAAAATTATCTCAAAGGCATCTACGTACCTGATTCTGCTTTCTATCATTAGTTAGATTCTCAAGAAACTCTAAGGTGTATTAACTGAGATCAGTCATACTTATCTCAGAGCTGAGATTGTATTTTTCAATGATTTTAGTTACAATAGCTGACATGATCTAATGTTATAGTAGGTTGGGTAGGTTATGAATAGTTCTTTAGGTTATATATACTATAAAAAATATTTTTTCAAATTAAAATTAATTATCTTGGATTAATATATCTATGCCCAAATTGAATAGGCCATGGTTATTATAATTTTATCAGAAAATGAATACAAACAAGACATGAATTTGATCAAAAGTCTTGGAATTCATAGCTTTACATAATAAATTTACCAAAAATATAGAAGGTATCAAAGAGGATATAATATTACTTAAAGAGGTCCTGGAAAAAATAATCAATATATGTATGCCAGATATATGTTTAGACTTCATATATAGAATCGGAGAAGTCAGATATATAATTCTTAAACATGGTAATTTGTGTACATAACTCATCCTGCTTTTTTCTGTGATAATTCTCTTTACTTTTATATTTTCCCATGTATTTATTGCATATATTATATTTAGATCTATTTAGCTCACTATAATCCTGCCTTTTCACATATATGCTCAAAGTCAGAGAAAAAAATATATGACTCTATTCTGTTTTGGAATACAGATGTCAAGAAAAATTCTCTATATTAACATAACAGTATATCAAGATATTTACTCAATTTTATAGTACTTTCTGTCTTACATAGTAAATATTTATTCTTCTGATTATATTTTGCAAGTAATTTAGCCTGTCTTTTTTTATGATAGTTCAATTTGTTATAATATTTTCCAGCATGTTCAACACATATATCATATTTAGAGATAGTTGGTATATCATACTCTTTACAAGAATTATATAATCACATTTTT